TATATATATATATATATATATATATATATATATATATATATATATATATATATATATATATATATATATTTATATTTCTTGTTCGTAAATAATAACTTTGCTAATGTTTGAATAAGCTAATGTCATATCTACGAACGAGAGTTATACGAAAAAAAAAAGAGATAGAATATGGATTCAAAAATTGTGAAATATGACATTAAGCTGCCATATGATCTTTATATATAAATAATAGATATGTGTTTTAATTAATAAACTATATAATGAACCATATATGCTCTAGATTTACTAGTGCATGGTACGAAATATGTTTCAGTTTATATTTCGGTTTTATATATATATATATAAAAATCAGTAAATTTAACATAGAAACATTTTTAAAATGTTTGCATTTTTACTAATATTTTTACGTATTTCAAATAATGATTTAAATACATATTTATAAAGTATATTTAGCTCTCTCGTTGAACAGTGCAATTTTAACGTATTAATAAAAATATCTTAAAAAAATTATAAATATTAATTTTTTTCAAATTTTTTTAATCATTGTACATTTTATATAAAAATCAGTAGTATGTATTACAAAAATGTATTGTAAACAATTATTTGTTTTATGATAAATGTAAATTTTTAAATACGACGAAGAAGAAATATTGTAAGTTAATATTTACTAAAATTATAAAAATATTTTTATTATACATAATTTTTGTTTTAGTTTTTCATATTTTTAATATTCAATATTTAATAACAATTGATTGTATTATGAAATTAAATTTGAATAAATAAGTAATCAACCATTTTTATATCGAAATATATTATATTTATATATGAAAGCAATAAACATCTCTAATAAACTTAGATCTCTATATTGATCTACTTAAGAACAAGGGAGATTTTTTAAATAATTCATCAACTTTTAATTTAAACAATTCACTTTGAATAGGTTCATTTAATTGACACAAAGGATTTTTTACAACATATTCTAAATAAACCTGTAAAAAAATTGACTTTTTTTTTTCTATGTATCTCTGAATATATTTCGTAATAATAAAATTATTTATTGTACTCACCTCCCTATACAATTGCTGTAATAATTCCCTAGCATTTTGTGTAACATTATCAGTATTTAATACAAATTTTAATCCAGATGGAGTTTCAAAATAATGTAACGTATATTTACTAGTTTTATAATATAAAAATCCTTCTTTTGGATCTAATGGCGAAATTTTACTTACAAACGACTTTATGGAAAATAACATTCCATACATTAATTTTGCTTCCTAAATTTGTACAAAACATGCACTACATTAATATTGTTAATGATACAATAATATACTAATAATAAATACAATAGCATAATAATAAATTTCTTTTTCAATAAATTTAATTTAAAGAATAATGGAACAAATGATTTTTATAAGTTTTTAGATTGTAGTTTGAAAAGGTTAGAAGAATCATATATAGTATATATTTAATAATTTTTAAAATAATAATTTTGATATCCATTCGTACATACCTCTGCTTTTGTGATCCCAGATTTATTCAATCTGTTCCATTCTGCATAATATAGCAATGTTCCATTTTTGGAAAATATGTATAAATTGTGAATTGTCATAATCTTAATGTATGGTTTTTAGTTTCTTTATTGTTGTCAAAATATTCAATCAATTGTTTATCGATGATTGCATAGCGATGTAAGTTTTTTACGAAAGATGGCTCATCAAAATATATATGTACATTGTTATCAATACATTAATACGCTCACTTCGAGCGACGCTTGATCACAGAAAGATGAAGATACAATGAAACCAAGCAAATATAGATAAGGATAAAAAATAGTGAGAGAAAGACAGAGATAAGGTAAAAATATTGAAATCAGCGTCATCTACAGAGTGCCACAAACGAAACTTAAATCAAGGATAAGAATTGACTAATAGTGCTATCTCTTGAGTATTGATGATATCTTTTTAAAACCAGGATAAGATAGAGTAAGAATTTAAGGTTAGCGCTATCTCTTAAGAATTTTTAGAAAGATGAATCTTTGAAGAGGTACCTCCAGTATTCAAAAGATGGCGTTATTGGTCAATTCTTATTCTATTTCTATCCTTTTCTTATTATTTTCTGTCCTTGTGTATCGAGTTTCATTTGCGGCACTCTAGAGATGGCGCTGATTTCAACATTTTTACTCTATGTCTATCCTTCTCCCACTATTTCCTTTCCTTCTACATTTGATCTGTAATACTCACGCATTCAAAAAGTAGTTTTTATATTTGATTAGTTTTCTTTTTAGTTTTCTAATTCAGATTAAAATCTTGGATTAAAAATCTTAATAGATTCTATTCGATACAATTTTTTTTATATTTCATATACATCTATTTTTTATAGATTTATACATTAGATACATATATTAGATTATACATATTTATATCAGATATATTTTTAATATAAATACTTGATTTAATATGAATTTTTTATTCGCTCATTGATCGCTAGTTTATTATTCTTCGTAATAAATAATTTTAAATAAATTTAGTATGCAATTGAATTTATCGGCATTGCAATAATGAAACCAATAATAATAACAGCAGTAGAGTAAGAAGTAATGAATCAAAAAATAGAAACAATAATGTTTGACCTATTTCAATTATTGACCGCTTAAACGCGATAATTATGTTCGGAAAATAGATATTCGAATTACCGTGCACAACATTATTACCAGACATAAAGCGTTGACCAAAATTTGGCTTCGATTATCTTTTCAACCACTTTTATTAATATTTTACGATACCGCTATAAATGAGCATCGAGCTCGCTGCATTGTTTTTTCGCTCGAAGCTCTCCAATATCAAGCACGTCATTTGGTTTTCCAAACGTTAAAATAGAGTCGAGAGAAAGCTAAAGTCAACCAATCCGGAGGAAAACTTTATCTCGTAATCATGCGATATCTATGCGAACGACGCTATACAAATAAATACAGTGTAAACGGGATCATAGAATAATAGAGGATAACAAATTATAGATGATACACGTATGTACATAGCCCATTGCGGAAGAGATCGGAAGCCATAAGTGAAGGTTAGAAATACCATCGATTATACTCGTGAAATTGAAATGAAACGAATTTCGTCGAACGATAACAAGATAAATAAGTAATTAACAGCATAATATCGGTTATCTATAATTCCTACGATCCATAAATCATTATTCGGGTATTCGGATAAACGTATCGCCAATTATTTTATAGATTTTCTCTTCATCCCGGTATCGGCCAATTTCTCTCTCATTCTTTGGTTAGGAAAATTTTCGTTACACGTGTAATCACGCTGGTTTACGCGTTCACGCATCTTTGACAAGGGAAAAATGATGTACGATAAAAATATCGCCGCGTGAAACGAGCGATCGCACGCGTTGGTTACTGGAATGATTCGATAACAATGACCCAATGGCTATAAATCAAACGAACGCAGGCAGCGCTGGCTGTTTCGAGTGTATCATACGGTTTCAGCTTCCTGCATAAAGGTTTACGTATTCGCGTAATATAATCGGCCATTGGCCAAGCGTTTAAAATAAGTAAGTTTAAAATGGTACACGTACAGATCCACGCAGAGAAGATTAGTATACTGACCCAGGTTATAAGCTTATCAAGTTTGCGCAATAGCAAACTTCCCATTTCTGTTAATTCCATATTCATTCCGGATAATATGCATCACTTCGCTTTCGATTTATCGGCGTTCATTGATCGCGTGTCTTCGACATTTATTATTATTGGTTAGGTTTCCAACTTAACCTATAAACACGTTTCACCCTGCGTCATCACGCGAACATTTTTCGCCAGTTATTATCCACTTCGTTCGACTGATAATGTGCCCACGAATATTTTTACGTCACGCAAAACACGTTTTCGAGCGTCGTCACGTCGTCGCGAGCTTATCGTCTGTGCTTTTTCGCGAGCAAGGTGGTTGCGCGCGACGAAATTCGCCCATCTCCTCTCGAGGCCCGAACCATATGGCAGTCGAGCACACAATCACATCGCAATAAAGCAGCCTACGATAAACTAACGCCGTGTATTGACAGAGAGTACTAGATATATCGCTTTTGTCGACGATATTACGTCGTTGTGAATCGCAATAACAACCACGAGCTTTGGATTTTTTTATTCGTTTGCCCGTTTGTTTGCATTCTTGTTCGTTCATTTGTTTATTTGTTTGTTTGTTTGTTTGACTGCTCGCTCGCTCGTTCGCTCGCTCGCTTATTTGCTTATCGTCCCCCTCCCCCTCTTTTTAACACGTCCTTTCGAAATTGATCGATCGAAACACAAGTTATACTTCATGATCGATGAAATTTTCACCTTCTTGTTGTTTATATCGTAATTTTATCGAACCTATTATTTTATTCTTATTCGTGAAAACGACGAGTTTCATGTCACGTCAGGATTAAACAACGACCTTAACGTTGCTCCTTTCATTTGCTAGATCGTATCTTGGAATCGTGTTGCGTTAAAGAAACCAGATTAAACTGGAACTGTAAGTCGAAGTTAGTCTTCTTTTATTTGTCGACCAACTTTCTGTTGTTGATCGAGCTGTTCGAGCTTTATTAAACCCTTTCTCCTTGGATACACTACTCGAAAATAATTGCAATTTATACAATTTTCGTGTTTTTATAGAGGTAAACTAAGAAATCAGAGAATTACATTTTTTATCGCGTCCTCTTATTTTTCTTTCCTTTCCTTTCCTTTTTTCTTCCGATCTGAGAAGTTAAAAGGAAGGAAATACGCGATGTAACGATGACAAATGAAGGTTTCATTAACCGTCTGGTAAAGAGGATTTTCCTGTTCAAACTGTATGATATAATCTTTTCCAACACGTAACATAATTAATAATTTTTTTACAAAATTAGATGTTGAGATATTAAGAATTTTTGCATAAGACAAATCATTTAAAACTCTTGTCGATTTCTACGAAAACTTGACAATTTTAAAGAGACAACTTGTACAACGATATTGTTACGTTTCGTTAAAAAAACGATTCATCATGATCATCGTTCATAACTTTGTTCGTAAACGTATCTTTATGGCAATTTATATTTATATCGTTAAGATATAAAGTATGAAAATGTATAAAAATTTCTCCTTAAAATGCTTCCCTTCAAAACTTTGAACGTTATATCTCTTATTACAGTCTTTATAGATCTATATAGGTCTTTCGTTGATGAAATAGGTTTTTGCATAACAAATTTCAAATAACAAGTATTCCGAAGAGTTGTATCATAAATAGCTTTACATTATATATAGACATGCTTGTAGAATATTCTTAATGGCAATGCATAACGAAAATATAACGTTATAAATTTGTATGTAGGCGGAATGGAGTCGAAAATAACTCGTTTAAATAATTCAAAAATTATCATACACCATAATAGGTAATCTTGCCACTAGACGTGCACGGCAGAAAATCGTAATTAAAATCCACAATGATTTTAACAATGTGGGATTAAGTAATAGATTCGAGTTTCTTTCAATCTCGCCAGTTTTTTTTATACGCGAACGTGAACATGATTTTCTATACAATTTTCTTCGATTCTTCTCTCTTCTGTTGAGAAACGATATTGGACAACTCTTCCATGCAATCAAATATCTCGTGGTTGCATAATTCGCGAAAGTCAAATCTTTGTATCAAAGCGTAAACCACAATTTTTGTTTGGCGTTCGACGGAAATAGAGGTGGTTTCGTATCTGCTGTCGGGTAAAACAAGTTTGCAACTCGTGGAACAAATTTGTTCAAAACCTGTCCCCTTTCTCTCGCGAGACGCTGTTGCGCGATCGAACGGATAGGGAGGAGATCATCTTCTCCCGCTTCTTTCACCGGATATGGAATTCTTTTTTTTCTTTTTCTTTTTCTTTTTTTTTTCTCTCTCTCGTAGCCAAAGTTTTGCCGCGATAAAATGGCATGCCACTTTTCCCATTCTCGACATTCTTTCATCTTGGAATTCAACTTTTGGAATTTCAAGTAGCTGCCATTCATCCTTGTAAAACCGTAAATAGTTTGGAAAATTACGCATTCGCGAATTATTTCTTGAAATTAGCGAGAAACGAAGCGAGAAATTGAATCGTGTAATTTTTTCTCGTGGTTAATAAACGGTTCGCTGATACGAGAAAAAAATGAAAAAAATAGTTGACCGATGAAAAATATTCTTGGTTTAACATCGATGTTGTAACCGTCGTTGATCAAAATGATTAAAAGATTATTATCGTATCGTATCGTTTAATTATCGCTCGATCACAAAAATCTTGGAAAAGTATGACATGTGCAAACATTAAATATCTTCGATGGATACGAATATCTTTTAAATTAAAAAGAAAAAAAAAAAAGAATATCGCTCAGAATATCGATCAGCTTTCTACAAATCATAGGCATATATCCACGAGAGGGAGAATAAAATCCTTTCATCAAACGTCCATTCCAAACGGGTACAAATAAACACGTTTCTAACCTCTCTTCTTTGCACCTCGCCTCGAACGAAGAAATTATCACTCACTCGAGCCAATTATCTTTCTCGAAACGACACGCACAAACGCGCACACCTCTTCCTCTTCGAGCGAAAGATTTCCGAATCGATTTGTTAAACACCGGATATACGCGAATTCGATTCGCGTATCGCGACACCGCGTCGTTTTATCACGTCGACCCGGTAGCTCGATCGTATCGCCGCGAACGGGAGCTGTCCAAACATTCCCGTCACGCTTTTATCGCGCTCGAACGTGAACGCTGTGCTCCGTCGATTCTTCGCGCGCGCGGTTCAATAACTTCCGGATCGCGCGCCACGTATCGACGTTTGGACGGGAATCCGAAAAAAAAAGAAGGAAGGAGGTGAAGGTGACGAGGCAAACCCGACTTTAAACACCTCCTCTTCGTTGGAGGAGAGGGGGCATGCCAGAAGCGAGATGGAGGCGCGTGTGTCGCTAGCTCGACGGTTTTGCAATGCGATGGTGCGATACTACGAGGTGCTATCCACTTGTTCGATAATTGGCTTTTGTCGATTATCTCGATATCTCGCGTTATATAGTCGTTTAATCGAGGCGGAGCTAGGTCAGAACGCGACGAGGCATCTATCGTCACATCGCCTCGCGATATTTTCGTTTTCGCGCCGGATTCCATCGCCGCCATGACGGAGGCCAAGGAGGAAACGTGGAAGGTAAGAGCTGTCGTCTCGCTTTCGCCGTCTCGAGCACGCGAACGCTCGAGTGAGAGAGAGAGAGAGAGAGAGAGAGAAAGAAAGAGAGAGAGAAACTCGTTCCTCTCGTTCGAGAATGGGCTGTCAGATGTCGTGGACGTAGATGGCCGTTCCCACTGGGACGTTCCCAATGCCCGCGTTACGGGATATATTCACTTGGAAATTCTGCCCACTTAATACACCCGGCTCAAGGGATCGGTGGCAGGAGACGCGGCTCGCGAAACGAGATCGAGTACGAGTCGTAAAAAATAGGGAGGCCCGTTGGTCGAAACGGTATCCGACAAATGAAATCGCGTACGTACGAAATAGCTTATCTTAGATGAGTAATAGAAAGAAACTCGTTCTCCTCGTTCAAAAAATTCTGCCAAAGTAATTCTACGATAAAGATGTATATCGTTTTTTTTTTCTTTCTTTCTTTCTTTTTTTCCATCGATGCATAAAATCTCGCTCGATACCGCGGAGTAAAGGCTTCGCCCGAAGTGGCCGATAATGTAGCCGAGTTCGCGTGCGTCTTTACGCGCCGACAAAACAACAGGATCGACCATGCGCGGCGGAAAAGAACAGCGTTTCGTCCGATCTTATCTGTTCCTGGTTTACCGCGCGAATAGATTAAACTGTAGCGATGCTCGTGCCGTTACGTGGGCGATGCTCCGCATTGAATAAATTTTACTCGATTAAATTACCCGATTAACCCTTTATTTTTCCCTACTCTTTTTTAAGGGGCTTCTTTCGCTTCTTTCTTTCTTTCTCTCTCTCTCTCTCTCTCTCTCTCTCTTCCTCCTCTCTCTCTCTCCTCCTCCT